TTACTCAACTTGTGTATGGTTAAAACTGTTCTTGGGCTATCGAATCTTCAAAACTTTTCATGAACCCTTTCATTTTAAGGGGGATGATCACAAAGGATCATCTGACATCAAAAACTAAATTCAACACCAAAGCAAGTTCCGTGTTGTAATTTTTATTAACCTATATGATGAAATATAAGCTTTCTTTCTGTTTATTTAGGCCTAGTTTTTTCAATGTTTTATAGAAAGTCCAACAGCAAATGTGTGTAGCACATTCAGTGGCCTTGTCATTGTTGCTTGCAGTAGTGTTGCTTGGTAAATCTGAAAAATAGAAAGTAAATATTTAAGACAAGAGTCAATATCTGTAGCTTATTTACTCAATTACATTTTACGTCTGATACAACTTAATAGAAAACGAAACTACATGCTTAAGTGAGGTGCTGTGGGTGTTGCCAGTGCTTTTATTGCAAATTCAAAGACATGTTCTGTAAATGTGAGTGCACACATGGTTAAAATTATACTTTTCATCTTTGGATTTTATTTTCCTGTAATTCTCCAGATATTGTTAAGCAATGGAGAGGAATAGTAGACAACTCGTAATTTCTTCTTTTTTTTTTTTTTTTGCTGCAAGTGCAGTGGATACTGAAATAATGCATTACCTGTAAATGGAATCATCCTTTTTTAGCACTGCTACCTTAACCTTCTGGCTTCACGTTCAGATTCTAGCAAGGTGAGGATATCTCCCTCTCTTACTGGGCCTTTCACATTCCTGATGATAGAGCGGTTGCTATCATCAAGAAACTCCACGCGGACCTGAAGTCAAAAGAATCTAGATATAAATCCCACTCAATTCAGTTGGGATATAATCAAAAGCACTACTGCTTTTTTAAAAAATATGAACATCAGTGCCATAGCCAAGAAGTAAGTGAAAATGTACTAAAATCAAAATGCCATTTTATCCAAACTGGAAAACTTAACTCATAAGGCGACAGGTAAAAATTTGGTTCAAAGCTTTACATCCTCATAATTAAAAAAGACCAGCCATTTTTGGACTTTACAATTTGTCTGGTCTTTATGATTATGTTAATCTCACCTCCTCAGGAAATGCAATTATTAACTAATATGTGTCTTTTAAGATTGGGTAACTAGTGTAGATGATCTAATGTCAGTGTTATCGATAATGAAACATTTCAGATAAGCTGCCAAGGAAACATTAATATCAATTTACATTTTTTGTCTGACATACATGTACCCTGCCATAAATGTCTCAACATATTGACAGCAACAACAAACAGTGATGACAAAGCCTAAAAGCTATTGGAATTCTTTTCATCTATGGGAAGCCTTCTTGACCCATGTGGACAACATGTCATCTTATTTATTCCTTTCACTACACAGGTTTTTCATGTAAATGGATTTAATCAGGATCATTACAACTGCTTTTAACAATATTTACAAAGGTTTTAGTGATAGAAATCACTTACTTCAGAACTAAAACAGTAGTCAAACAGTTACACTTTGTTCTTTCACAAGAGAATCATTAGGCCCAAGGCCCACAGAAATTTACAGTATGGAATGTCAAGAGCAATTTTTGTCTCAAAGTAAGTGATTATTATCATGAAAACCTTACTGAATAAAAATTCTTGAAAACATGAACAATATTATTGATGATACTTTTACCTAATACTAAAATAAACACCCCTAACAACACTTGCTTCAAATATCACTTTTATTTCAAACCTCTTACCTGTGTACACTGGCCCTGTGAACCTGTTCTGCCTAGGACTTTGGTTACCTGTGCAATGAATAACAATACATTAATTTTTCTGACAAATACCAATTCCCAGAGCTTATCTTAACAATAGAAGTATCAGTTATCTTGAATGTATATGCCACCTACATCCAGTGCGCCAAAAGCAGACCATGGCTTACAAGATGAATATGTTTTCAGCAACAGGATTGATGCATATCATAATTTTTCAGTCCTTAAACTAGGAAATATTGGCATGAAGGCATCTATCAAAATACTTCTCATGGAGGGGTGGGGGGCAGTAAGAGCTCGGCCTGGCACTAACAATTTTACTTGTAAATTTAGATACACCAAGATATATAAGGAGATGAGTGGGCGGGCCATCTTTAAAATTAGTTTCGATAAGGGCTGGAGGCAGAAAAATATTGTTTATAGATTAACTCCACCTTTACCTTTCAGACTCAGAACAATGTATTTGAAAATGTCAATAGGAGGGTGATAAAACAGGACTGGTTTACTCAGGCTGTATTCACAACAGCGGACTAACAGATCCGCGGGTCAAATATGGCGACAGAGTTAAAAGTTTGCCGAGTAAGTCCTTAATTGACACTGAATAGATACCCCTGTGGGACTACTCAAAAAGCATTCAAGTGGGTCTGCTACATTTGATCCGAGGATCTGTTAGTCTACTGTTGAGAATGCACCGGCCTCAAACACACTTCAACCAGATGAATGGCGAGTCCTCTAAGATGTTGAATTGTCATTTGTTCGGAACAACTTTCCCGGCAAACGTTATGCCAGAGTAAAATTGACATACTAATGTTTACAAGGTTTCAATTAATTATGAGATAACAGAGTTACACTATGTATAAAGCTTACGTACTCTTGCGAGTTTAACTGGCTGCAACTTCTCCATGTTGCAAGCTGTGGGAAAGAGGAAATAAGAGGGTCTCAACTTCCGGAACAAGGAGTCCCAATATGTGAACTACGCGCTTGCTCACTTCCTTTTAGAAGAAAATAAAGTATGTAGTCTTTAAAAGGGACTTAAATTCAATTAAAATTAAAATTTTGAAATATAAAATATAACAATGTTTTTAATAGCATATCTTTATGAACGATGCAAGAAATAAACAAACAGAGGTCCCGCACTGAAAGGCTTCCAAAACTGCCAAGGCAAGATGTCGCGACGGTGGCCGCATCGAAGGAGGGAGTTTACGCCCTTAACGGTATTAATTCAAAACGTGACAAGATTTAGAGCTATATTTACGGTAAGGGGTGTGCGTTTTTGTTACTGAAGGTGCAATAATAAAGAGAAGCGATAACTATCAGATCTAGATATATCTGAAAAACCCATCAGCTCAGCAGCTGTGCTCCGATTGTGCTCAACTTTCAAAACAAGTTAAACATTCGGCACACATGCAACACTGCATTAACACCAAACATTCTATGTCTGATGTAATAGTTTAGGTAAAGAAACATTTTAATTTGAGATATTGAATAAAACATTTTGAAGTTGTATGGGGCTAGGAACTGTACCTTCCAATTTCCGATTGGAGCATTTTCCCAAAATGTGAAATTCAGCCCAGTCTGTAAAGAAAGTAATTAATCTTGGGTAAGGGACTTGAGTCAAAATAGACTGGATTGATTCAGCTTGTTGCACGGTTTGCACTGACCTTGTTTAAATACCACTAATTCTAACAGTATTCTTTAGAGTGACCAAGGATTTCTCAAGTTGACCACATAGACCTGTTGAAAGGTTTGAACATACTGGTTGTATAACAAATTAGGCTTTCACTTTGATTGTTTGATGAATCTGTAAGGTCCTGTTGCATGATGTCATTAAAAGGAAATGACTGACTGGAAAAATGACCATCTGTGTAAAGAAAATGCTTTCTTTAAGGAAATAATGAGTTGAAATTGTAACAAATATTTCATAGGACACTTCATTCCTTATCACTGAATGTATACAAATGCATATACCCTAATATGCCCTGTTCAGATAATGTTTATGACTTTAAAAATNCTTCTGCGTCAGCCATATTAACAGGCGGTACTCGGACCATATAACATACAATAAAAATAAGGTAATGTCTTCAAGGATAACTCCATATATACACTAGTTTTCGAGTCCCAGGCATGTTAAGCTATCTCCTTTGTAAAATTATAACAAAAGTCTCAGTTCCGCAACCTCTATCGTGATTTTAACTAAGTACCCAACAGTCCCGACTCCCATGCATGTACACACTTTGTTGTTTTGCAGCGCACGTCTCTCATACAAGTCTTTCAAACAGCATTCTTTTGGAAACGCTGCCTTTATATTCTACATGAATGGGTAAGTAAACGAAATGGACCAGCATAATTCAATTGTTAAAAGCTTGGTGGTTCGAGACGTTAACATAACAACTGTTTTTTCAGTTTCACTATCATATCGACAATTTATTCTTATAAGAGATAATCAGGTTCCCAAAGCACTTGAAAAAGTTGAAATGCCTTGAAAATTATGTCTTTAATTAAGATAAAATTGAGGAAAAAGTCGGTTGAAACTAGCTAGAGGTAAACAAATATAGATGCCATTTAAGCATACTTGCGATTGGCACAAAATTGGGTTAATTAAAAAAATAATGATGATGGTAATGATAAGAACTCTCTAAAATGAATAAAAATAAAGAAAAATGATGATTACAAATATGAGTATTATAAATAAAATAAAGCAAAAGGAAATTACAACGATTTATTTAAAGCAGGGACACTAGAAAATAAATATGACAAGTATGAAAAAATAAGTATGTGTTACAACTTATATAGCACCGATGAACATGCTTTATTGCTCGGAAAATAACGGGTTTTAATACCCCTTATAGCGTTAAAAAATCTACCACCCATGAAGCTGATGTTCCATTGCCGTTTCTCGAAAGTGAATAATTATACATACTGCATGTCATATCAAATTGCTTATTACTTCTATTTCAATACACCTGAGTAATAGATACTTCATGCCCAAAAGGAGAACTCCTAAATCCTCATTACATTTTATTGCAAGAGCAATATAACCTACATGTGCAAATGCATCGATCAGACCATTGAATATAGAACAATATAGAACTGTAAAACCTTACATGTACGGAGGTATTAAATCGGAAACTCCATATAAACCAAATATAACTGATGAGCTAGGTTACCCCTATCTTTATGAAAAACAAGTTATTTAAGTTAGAGATAATTTTCGGAAAAAAAAATTTTAATTGTGCATTGAAACATGAGCTCTACTTACAGAACACAACAAGAGGGCGTTTTACTATGAGTACGCAAAACCTTAGTGGGTCCTTGTCACGCTTTCTCTGTTCCTCACTTTGAACGTCGTCTGCTTCAACGCCAGTTACCTCTGCCCCAGATCCAACGTTGCCGAGTTGCATGTCACTCTGTCCGGCCTTCTCTGGCAAATTACCGCTTTGTGAGACAGTATCAGTTCTGTCTTCCATATTTTCTTCTTTTCGTTGACCGTCTTGAATATTTGTAATTTTAGTTTCCTAGGATGCTTTCTTTTTTCTTTTTTTTTCAGTGAGAACGTCTGAAATATTGAATAATCTGAAATATACGAAAGCGTGATTGTTCAAGAGAAAAAATTGTCAGATGTGTGTGGTGGTTCTGCGTCCTCCTTTCTTATTAAACCCCTTATTTCCGGTGTCATTAAAATGCCTCATTATACTGACAATGACTGTCAGTTATATATGCTTGTTAATGGTATATACCGAGACCCAAGAAAATAATGATGAAAATTACAAATCAACCCACGCCTATACTCAATACAGGCCTACATTACAGCAAGGAATTCCTTAATTACGGTCAGTGCGAGTAGCCTTCGTGAACGTTAAATCACCTCAAACCCTTTTTCATTTCTGACAGTGCACGATTCTAAGAAGGCAACCACGGATATTGTGTGAGAGAAACAGTGCTCATCTTGTAATGGACTAAAAAATTACCTGTATTTCCGTGTTCTAACACGTCGGTTTATCCCTCCACACACTGGTTTAATGAAGTTATTTTAAAAATATGTGGGCATAATCAATATCGGCCTCACTGTCGTTGGGTTGCTTAGGCAGACTGCAGGAAGCAATGAATTATTGATCATGTACATATGTATATAACAGACGAGTGGGTAATTGGAAGATCGTATAACGATTTATTTTTTTCATGTTTGTTTCAATTGAAGCGCTACCTTGGGTACTTTATTTAACATAAGGATAAAGCTCAATTGCAAAATTGTGGTTCAATACATGAACCAAAAAAAAAGGCACTTTCGAATGACAATATTCAAAAGAAAACATCAATACATGGACAAAAAAAAAAAAAGGTACTTTCGAATGACAATAATTCAAAAGAAAATATTTTGAAATAAATCGTTGCAACTAACCAGCTGCAGGTTTAAGAAGTATCATTTCGAAGTCTAAAAAGATTTTTAAAGTTTAATTGCAATTTTTTACAGTCATCAAATGTTTCAAAGCAACAAGACAGTTCATTCATTATTTGGATGCATATAACTTTAGACTGTCTTGCTTATGGTTTTGTACGTATTTAAAACGAGAGGAACATTTCTGTAAGGAGTAAGCCCCAGTGTGCAGTACTCTTAAAACGAGATGGCTCAGTCTCTCTACAGTTAAAAAAACGAACTCTTTTGTCACAAACTGCAAAATTACTAACATGACATTTTTCGATGGACCATAGGCCATTTTTATCAGTCTTTGAATGACCCTGATGGCGTTGTGTCACAATACACTAGAGCAAAAGGAAACAATCCACACAAGGAACGTGGTCATCAGCCATCACAGACCACACAACTCGAGAAAACCAAAGTATGGGAGTATGCAAAAATTCTACAGAAAGAAAGTGATTGGAGAACCAGAGAGGAGTTGAATTCCCACGCCAAAAGTAGATAATTCTGGCATTTTGTCTCTTATACCACAGAGCACAAAATAATAATAATAATAATAGTTGCGGATTCAGTCGGCTCACCAAACAATGTGCTCGGCTCCTTTGTGGGCGGGCACATTTAGGACGAAAAAAGGCAGGATATGTAGTTACTTCGATTCGTGCACATATAATTTTTAATGTACTGTGTGTAAAAGAGACAAATAGTCAGAAAGTATCTACTAAACTTGCGGTACTTATCACTCGGTAGTTCCACCCCCTTGCTAAGGCGAGTGTCACCCAGCTTTAAATAAATTAATGGAACTTAAAAACGGTTTTATGGAGCTTTATTTTCTCAACGGTTTTGGATAGGATATACCTTGGCCATTATGGGAAAACTGGTGAGGTTTCCAGGAAAATTCGTTTTTTTTTTTTTTTGCTATATATGGTCTAACCCACTGAGACTGTCTTTAACAACACATCACCGACTTTTCCAACTTTATACGCAAATTTCTAGGCTGGACTGTTCGGTCTCGCTAGCTTTGTAGAGTTGCATTCACTGTACAAATGCGACATTGTAGCTCTTGACGAAACAAAAGATGCGTTGATAGCAGTCCGGTGCCGTTAACTTTCCATTCTTTTGGCGGGCTTCATTCATACATGGGGAAAATGATTGCAAACCCAGTAGAATATGGAGCACAGTGCTGTTAAAAATAAAAGGCCCAAGTTATCATCTGAGGCGCAGTAAAGCAAGCCTAAGGGTCATATAGGACAGAAGTTTCATCTTAAATCTTTCCATTTTGCGATCCAAGACAGTTTCGCCGCAAGCTCCATTTTGGCTGGACCTTGAGAAAGAGCACCGTTGTAATACGAAAAGATCTAGCCATTAACTTTCAAGGACAAAATAATAAAAAATAAAAATAAATAAATGTAATAATAATCCTTTAAGGCGAGTATTAAGCGAATATTTGTCACATTCAGGCCTTCCCAACTACCAGACTCGGCACCTACGGGTCCAGTATAAACCGGTTTATCAGACCACACTACCCGTTTTCAAGGTGTGTGTCAGATCGCATTACAGGGTATCAGCCACCACACCGATTTTGCCTGGTGCGCGATGTGATAGCAATGATCCTAAGCGGGGTTGGAAAGTAGTGCATCTCATCTAGATTCATGCGCTGCTGCAATTTTCTCTGTTTATACTAAAATCTGACAGTACCGCAATTTTTAACATAAAATTTAGGTTCGGACATAGCCAATGATGTTTTGTAAATAAGAACTTGCAAACTTATATATTAATTTAGAAAAGTAGACTTAATTTTGATAGCAGAAGCATATTCTGTGTGGGGTTAAATTATTTTCATGACTACCGGGATGGACGAGATTGAGGGCAGGGGTAATCCTAGAGAGGGGTGAGAAACGTCTATTGTTCTCGTCAGCGAGGCTGTCCTTTTTCAGGGTTTGTATGCACGGACAGAAAACTTAAGTATTGGACGTGGGAACGTTACTAATGAAGCCACTGGTAGTACTAGTAGATATCAGCCTGTAGTCTTGAACAAGCGCCTCGATGACGAGTGAACAGTCGTCAAAAACAAAAGACCCAGGTGTGGTAGTTCAACTACTGTTCATGCGTGCCGCAACGACCAAACCTAATTGCTCCTCAAGGTCACAAAACAATAACCGGTACTGACGGCTAGGCTCGTCTTAATCATATAAGTAGCGCGTTTCCACCCCCTGATTGAGGGAGTCGTCTGTTGTATTCATACGACTCCTACCTGACGAAAACGAGGCGCGATACCCGGATGACAGGTAGGCTTACAGAATTTGTGAAAGGGTATGATACTCTTTTATGCGATCTGACACACACCTTGAAAACGGGTAGTGTGGTCAGATATACCGGTTTATTCTGGACCCGTAGGTGCCGAGTCTGGTAGTTGGGAAGGCCTGACATTATTGCCGCTAAGCACGACCAAATGCAACAAGTGTTGCAAATAGTAAACTAAGGGAAGTACCACTGAAAGCGTTTCATCATTTACCGAGTGTAAGAACTGGTGCTAAGAATTTATGTACGTCACTGAAAATTACTCCAACTTGTGTATGGTTAAAACTGTTCTTGGGCCATCAAATCTTCAACACTTTTCATGAACCCTTTCATTTTAAGGGGGATGATCACGAAGGATCATCTGACATCAAAAACTAAATTCAACACCAAAGCAGGTTCCGTGTTGTAATTTTTATTAACCTATATGATGAAATACAAGCTTTCTTTCTGTTTATTTAGGCCTAGTTTTTTCAATGTTTTATAGAAAGTCCAACAGCATATGTGTGTAGCACATTCACTGGCCTTGTCATTGTTGCTTGCAGTAGTGTTGCTTGGTAAATCTGAAAAATAGAAAGTAAATATTTAAGACAGAGTCGATATCTGTAGCTTATTTACTCAATTACATTTTACGTCTGATACAACTTAACAGAAAACGAAACTACATGCTTAAGTGAGGTGCTGTGGGGTGTTGCCAGTGCTTTTATTGCAAATTCAAAGACATGTTCTGTAAATGTGAGTGCACACATGGTTAAAATTATACTTTTCATCTTTGGATTTTATTTTCCTGTAATTCTCCAGAGATTGTTAAGCAATGGAGAGGAATAGTAGAGGACTCGTTATTTCTTTTTTTTTTGCTGCAACTGCAGCAAGTGCAGTGGATACTGAAATAATGCATTACCTGTAAATGGAATCATCCTTTTTTAGCACTGCTACCTTAACCTTCTGGCTTCACGTTCAGATTCTAGCAAGGTGAGGATATCTCCCTCTCTTACTGGGCCTTTCACATTCCTGATGATAGAGCGGTTGCTATCATCAAGAAACTCCACACGGACCTGAAGTCAAAAGAATCTAGATATAAATCCTACTCAATTCAGTTGGGACATAATCAAAAGCACTGCTGCTTTTTTAAAAAAAATGAACATCAGTGCCATAGCCAAGAAGTAAGTGAAAATGTACTAAAATCAAAATGCCATTTTATCCAAACTGGAAAGCTTAACTCATAAGGCGACAGGTAAAAATTTGGTTCAAAGCTTTACATCCTTATAATTAATAAAGACCAGCCATCTTTAGACTTTACAGTTTGTCTGGTCTTTATGATTATGTTAATCTCACCTCCTCAGGAAATGCAATTATTAACTAATATGTGTCTTTTAAGATTGGGTAACTAGTGTAGATGATCTAATGTCAGTATTATCGATAATGAAACATTTCAGATAAGCTGCCAATGAAACATTAATATCAATTTAAATTTTTCGTCTGACATACATGTACCCTGCCATAAATGTCTCAACATATTGACAGCAACAACAAACAGTGATGACAAAGCCTAAAAGCTATTGGAATTCTTTTCATCTATGGGAAGCCTTTTTGACCCATGTGGACAACATGCCATCTTATTTATTCCATTCACTACACAGGTTTTTCATGTAAATGGATTTAATCAGGATCATTATAACTGCTTTTAACAATATTTACAAAGGTTTTAGTGATAGAAATCACTTACTTCAGAACTAAAACAGTAGTCAAACAGTTACACTTTGCTCTTTCACAAGAGGATCATTAGGCCTAAGGCCCACAGAAATTTATAGTATGGAATGTCAAGAGCAAAATGTAGCCACACTACTGCTATTTTTGTCTCAAAGTAAGTGATTATTATCATGAAAACCTTACTGAATAAAAATCCTTGAAAACATGAACAATATTATTGATGATACTTTTACCTAATACTAAAATAAACACCCCTAACAACACTTGCTTCAAATATCACTTTTATTTCAAACCTCTTACCTGTGTACACTGGCCCTGTGAACCTGTTCTGCCTAGGACTTTGGTTACCTGTGCAATGAATAACAATACATTAATTTTTCTGACAAATACCGATTCCCAGAGCTTATCTTAACAATAGAAGTATCAGTTATCTTGAATATATATGCCACCTACATCCAGTGCGCCAGAAGCAGACCATGGCTTACAAGATGAATATGTTTTCAGCAACAGGATTGATGCATATATCATAATTTTTCAGTCCTTTAACTAGGAAATATTTGCATGAAGGCATCCATCAAAATACTTCTCATGGAGGGGTGGGGGCAGTAAGAGCTCGGCCTGGCACTAACAATTTTACTTGTGAATTTAGATACACCGAGATATATAAGAGATGAGTGGACGGGCCATCTTCAAAATTAGTTTCGATCAAGGCTGGAGGCAGAAAAATATTGTTTATAGATTAACTCCACCTTTACCTTTCAGACTCAGAACAATGTATTTGAAAATGTAAATAGAAGGGTGATAAAACAGGACTGGTTTACTCAGGCTCTATTCACAACAGCGGACTAACAGATCCGCGGGTCAAATATGGTGAGTTAAAAGTTTGCCACATAAATCCTTAATTGACACTGAATAGATACCCCTGTGGGATTACTCAAAAAGCATTCAAGTGGGTCTACCACATTTGATCCGAGGATCTGATAGTCTACTGTTGAGAATGCACCGGCCTCAAAACACACTTCAACCAGATGAATGGCGAGTCCTCTAAGATGTTGAATTGTCAATTGTTCGGAACAACTTTCCCGGCAAACGTTATGCCAGAGTAAAATTGACATACTAATTTTTACAAGGTTTCAATTAATTATGAGATAACAGAGTTACACTATGTATAAAGCTTACGTACTCTTGCGAGTTTAACTGGCTGCAACTTCTCCATGTTGCAAGCTGTGGGAAAGAGGAAATAAGAGGGTCTCAACTTCCGGAACAAGGAGTCCCAATATGTGAACTACGCGCTTGCTCTCTTCCTTTTAGAAGAAAATAAAGTATGTAGTCTTTAAAAGGGACTAAAATTCAATTAAAATTAAAATTTTGAAATATAAAATATAACAATGTTTTTAATAGCATATCTTTACGAACGATGCAAGAAATAAACAAACAGAGGTCCCGCACTTAAAGGCTTCCAAAACTGCCAAGGCAAAATGTCGCGACGGTGGCCGCATCGAAGGAGGGAGTTTACGCCCTTAACGGTATTAATTCAAAACGTGACAAGATTTAGAGCTATATTTACGGTAAGGGGTGTGCGTTTTTGTTACTGAAGGTGCAATAATAAAGAGAAGCGATAACTATCAGATCTAGATATATCTGAAAAACCCATCAGCTCAGCTGTGCTCCGATTGTGCTCAACTTTCAAAACAAGTTAAACATTCGGCACACATGCAACACTGCATTAACACCAAACATTCTATGTCTGATGTAATAGTTTAGGTAAAGAAACATTTTAATTTGAGATATTGAATAAAACATTTTGAAGTTGTATGGGGCTAGGAACTGTACCTTCCAATTTCCGATTGGAGCATTTTCCCAAAATGTGAAATTCAGCCCAGTCTGTAAAGAAAGTAATCTTGGGTAAGGGACTTGAGTCAAAATAGACTGGATTGATTCAGCTTGTTGCACGGTTTGCACTGACCTTGTTTAAATACCACTAATTCTAACAGTATTCTTTAGAGTGACCAAGGATTTCTCAAGTTGACCACATAGACCTGTTGAAAGGTTTGAACATACTGGTTGTATAACAAATTAGGCTTTCACTTTGATTGTTTGATGAATCTGTAAGGTCCTGTTGCATGATGTCATTAAAAGGAAATGACTGACTGGAAAAATGACCATCTGTGTAAAGAAAATGCTTTCTTTAAGGAAATAATGAGTTGAAATTGTAACAAATATTTCATAGGACACTTCATTCCTTATCACTGAATGTATACAAATGCATATACCCTAATATGCCCTGTTCAGATAATGTTTATGACTTTAAAAAATGGTGAAATTACTAGTTCAAAACACTGGATGTGCTCCACTTCCTCTAGTACCTACATGTAAGTGAGCTATCAAGTTAAGGCCAGCATGGAGGACAGCTGGAAGAAGTCAAGGTCATTGAAAATGATGCAAAGTTGCAAAACGTGCATAACTAAGAAGATTTCATTTTCAAAATTGTCAACACCAGCAAAACAAAAGTCAGTGCAGCTACAGTGTGTAACTGTATATCTCATTGTCTGCTACCAAATCCTGACTTGTAATCTAAAAGATACATGACATGCGCAGGGACCCTGTAAATTAAATAAGTATATTAACCAATCAAGGACACAGAAGAGTGCTTGAACACACAGAATTACAAAAATAATAAGGGCTTGTATGGTTTAGATATTGAGCAAAATGGATAAACAACCTAGTTGCATTTAAAAGAAGTGTTAAAGTAAACTGATTCTCAGTATTTTGCTCTACTTCTTCAAGTAGTACATTTAAGATTCTTAGATATTGATTATAACTATTATTTCTCTATTATAATGATTTCCTTGTACAACTTATGACATTTCATGTATTTTTGTTACTTCAGCCCTTTTTCAAAGAGAGAAATAGATACCCTGATGAGATGGCTCCAAGGTATGTCTTATTAATTTATCAAAATAAACTGTTTTAGTTTATTATAGTAGTTGTCTTTCAAGAATATTGTCTTTCACATTCAACAGCATTTTCCCCATTTTCAAAATCTTCTTGCCTCTTCAATTGCAAGAAAAATTAAAAGAATATATATATATATATATATATATATATATATATATATATATATATAGAAGTGATTGTGTTCAATCTTAATGTTTTTTAAGGGAACTAAAAGAAATAGAGGTGGCAAGAACTCTTATTAACGAAGGAAAAAATACTGCAATGGCTTATACATGTAAATTAAGTTGAAAAACTAATATGTGATTTGATTCTTTGCCTTAAAGAGCTGGATCAATTGAACCCCCAACACTGCCTATGGGAATCCACCACAAATTGAGTGCTAATGCATACTGTACTCGTGATGCCAGACGGCTGGTAAAACCTCCAGTGGTCAGTTTTACAGCAGTCACAGGGACAAAATCTCTTCCTTCTGGACTGGCTGCTGAAGAAGAAATGGTACAAGAGTCAAAAGAGTAAGTATATGAGGGGCAGGGTTTGATTAGTTGACTCTGACTTACTAGTAATCATGCAGTTTGTTAGGGTGTGTATATCACAGGAGCCTACAAGAAAACCCTGGTTACATAATTACAATATCAAAATGTTTTAACAGTTTAAACTTGTTTAGTATCATGGAATGATGTTGTCTGTCTTAAACAATCAACAGATAGTAAAATAAGTTGCCATGCTGGAAAGTACCTAGTTCCAAGCATACCAGCTACATGTAATAGTAACTTTTGTAATAAATGTGGTTGGCTTTATATCTATATGTACATCTCATAAGCAGGCAAGTGAATGGTTGTGCAGTGCATATTGTTTCATGTGCTACCTTTTCAGATAAATANTGGTGAAATTACTAGTTCAAAACACTGGATGTGCTCCACTTCCTCTAGTACCTACATGTAAGTGAGCTATCAAGTTAAGGCCAGCATGGAGGACAGCTGGAAGAAGTCAAGGTCATTGAAAATGATGCAAAGTTGCAAAACGTGCATAACTAAGAAGATTTCATTTTCAAAATTGTCAACACCAGCAAAACAAAAGTCAGTGCAGCTACAGTGTGTAACTGTATATCTCATTGTCTGCTACCAAATCCTGACTTGTAATCTAAAAGATACATGACATGCGCAGGGACCCTGTAAATTAAATAAGTATATTAACCAATCAAGGACACAGAAGAGTGCTTGAACACACAGAATTACAAAAATAATAAGGGCTTGTATGGTTTAGATATTGAGCAAAATGGATAAACAACCTAGTTGCATTTAAAAGAAGTGTTAAAGTAAACTGATTCTCAGTATTTTGCTCTACTTCTTCAAGTAGTACATTTAAGATTCTTAGATATTGATTATAACTATTATTTCTCTATTATAATGATTTCCTTGTACAACTTATGACATTTCATGTATTTTTGTTACTTCAGCCCTTTTTCAAAGAGAGAAATAGATACCCTGATGAGATGGCTCCAAGGTATGTCTTATTAATTTATCAAAATAAACTGTTTTAGTTTATTATAGTAGTTGTCTTTCAAGAATATTGTCTTTCACATTCAACAGCATTTTCCCCATTTTCAAAATCTTCTTGCCTCTTCAATTGCAAGAAAAATTAAAAGAATATATATATATATATATATATATATATATATATATATATATATATATATATATATATATATATATATAGAAGTGATTGTGTTCAATCTTAATGTTTTTTAAGGGAACTAAAAGAAATAGAGGTGGCAAGAACTCTTATTAACGAAGGAAAAAATACTGCAATGGCTTATACATGTAAATTAAGTTGAAAAACTAATATGTGATTTGATTCTTTGCCTTAAAGAGCTGGATCAATTGAACCCCCAACACTGCCTATGGGAATCCACCACAAATTGAGTGCTAATGCATACTGTACTCGTGATGCCAGACGGCTGGTAAAACCTCCAGTGGTCAGTTTTACAGCAGTCACAGGGACAAAATCTCTTCCTTCTGGACTGGCTGCTGAAGAAGAAATGGTACAAGAGTCAAAAGAGTAAGTATATGAGGGGCAGGGTTTGATTAGTTGACTCTGACTTACTAGTAATCATGCAGTTTGTTAGGGTGTGTATATCACAGGAGCCTACAAGAAAACCCTGGTTACATAATTACAATATCAAAATGTTTTAACAGTTTAAACTTGTTTAGTATCATGGAATGATGTTGTCTGTCTTAAACAATCAACAGATAGTAAAATAAGTTGCCATGCTGGAAAGTACCTAGCTCCAAGCATACCAGCTACATGTAATAGTAACTTTTGTAATAAATGTGGTTGGCTTTATATCTATATGTACATCTCATAAGCAGGCAAGTGAATGGTTGTGCAGTGCATATTGTTTCATGTGCTACCTTTTCAGATAAATAATTTAATGACTAGCATACAAACACTAACACACGCGCGCGCGCACACACACACACACACACACACACACACACACATTTTAAGTTAGAATTCCTTGTCCCTCTAAAAAGATGTTAATGTATAAAAACAAAGAAATTCAGTACTGTCACATGATTTGTATAATTTTGTTGCTATATTTGTAAAGGACATTTTTAGCAACAAGTAATATGTAAATATAAAGAAAAAATAGCATGTGGCTTTAAAAATCTTGGTGAGGGCAAGGATGACATAAGTTTAGTGGTGTGTGTGGTCTAATATTGCGGTAGAGCTGCTGCACAACTGTAGCATTGATCATCATTATAACATCTAACACAGTTGGAGATATTTTTTTTTAAATTTAATTCAGCTACATGTCATTTATTGCAGAGAACCCGCAAACCAGTTGCCACCTGTACCTGGTCGTATGTATAACTTCGATCATCCCATTGACCAACCTATAAAAGAAGTCATTTATAAACCTTTCTAAATTGATAACAGACTGTTGGTTGTTGAAAGTATTCAGCACTGAGGATGAATGGATTTGCATGATGTAATGTTTAAAATATATATGGATTTACGTACACTTGGAACTTGGCACATATTTGTTGACTCTTAACTGAAGTGGAACTGAAGCAGCTTGGACAGTTTAATGTTTTTACCAAAGTGTCGTGTTAAAATAGATAAAGTTGCACTTTTAAATTGTTGACCTTGGCTCCCACAGGATTTTGCAGCTGCAACTGAGTGTCCATATGCACTTGCTACTCAATAGTGTGCTTATTTTGTTAAAAAATGTATAAATATATACTTTGAAAGCTGAGATGATTGTGTCATAATCACTGTTGCGAGGGGATTGTCTGACGTCTGTACTTCATCATTTTGATTGAGAATTGATTCAATAATCGTGGGATGTTTTGATGAAGCTGTTCTCTAGGGACACCTGATGTAATAGACTCGGCTCAGAAAGACCGTGTCCTAGAGAGATATCATTTCCTGTGTGCAAAAACATCAATCTTACTGATGTTTTCATGGAGTGTTGACTTTTTTTTGATAGTTAAGATATAAGTTTAGATATTTATTTCCCACACAATAAGTTTATAATACAAATGTCCAGCAGAGTATACATAAGCTAATTTTAGCTAATTCTTTGACATGTATAGACTTGCAAATGCTCATGTCAGATTTTCGAAGATTGTTAAGTTTACTAAAAAATAATCTAAACTACAATAAGTTTTTCAAAGTTTACTAAAATAACCATCCCTAACAATGTTTGCTTCAAATATTAATTTTATTTTAAACTGCATACCTGTGTACACTAGCCCTGTGAACCTGTTCTGCCTAGAACTAAACATATAATTATTTATGAACTTCCAGACACCATGTCCCTCAGTCTGAACATCACCACAAACGCAAGATCTATTATCTTGGAGTAATCTTGACTTATAAATTTTTTCAATTGCTATGTTGTGAGCAGAAACCTTGTTGCTGCCAACCTGCCCTTCTAAACTACTAATTCATTGCACGTGGCATGTATTTTCAAATCTGGGTTGATGTTTAAGTAGAATTTTGGTTTACACTCTACTGTGGGATGATATAATCAGTGATTTGAATTTTTATTTACAGACACTGTAAGTGTCTCTATATGTTCTGATCTGTCTGTCTGTCTGTCTGTCCGTCTCGTCTCTGTCACTGTCCGACACAACAGTTGCCCCATAACTACCAAACAGTATTTTTGTTTTTATTTAAATTTACTGAGTGGCTTTGTTTGGTAAAGAGGCAGGTTGCTTTTGAAAATCGGCATGATTGGTGTACATTTACGGTAATTATTCTGTTTTTTAATTTTTGCACAGTTTTGGTGACATTAGCTTCATAACTTCTGAACCATATTTTTGTTTTACATTAAATTTACTTAATGGCTTTGTTTGGTAAAGAGGCAGGTTGCTTTTGAAAATCAGCATGATTGGTTCACATTTATGGTAATTATTCTGGTTTTTGCACAATTTTGGCAACATTCAGTTTGACATGTAACTACCAAACCATAGCCTTTATTATCATCCAGATACTGAAAATGAGATTTTTCCTGCATCTAATTATTCAATAACGTATCTATCTTTGTGCTGATTTGAAACAATAAAAATCCCCTTGAAAATATAAAATATTGGCGTTTATATTTTATATTGCAATGTATAAGCAAAGGCAACTCGGAGCTTTAATCGTCAATTTAACACCTCTCTATTATGTGTAACTTCAAATTTCCTGAGTGGCTTTGTTTGATAAAGGGTGCATTCCGAGAGATTTAGATCGATCCAGAGATTTAGATCGACCTAACTCCTTGGGGGTTCACGCTAAATTGCAGTTAGCCGAGCGCGCAACATAGTTAATTACCCCCTTACAGCTTTTAGTAGGCGGGACAGACGCTTAAGCCGGCTAATCTGACAGTAATCTAGTGAAATTCCCCACAGGGATAAATCGATCTAAAATCTATGGGAATGGGGTCAAAGAGATGAACTTTCTTTTGGAAATGGCATGATTGAATTACTTTTACGGTATTGTTGCTGTTTCTTCCTTTTTGGTATCTGTATATTTGCCTGCTTTGCTTTCCAGTATCTTTGATGTACCTTGTGGCTGATCTAATTGAACAATAATATTCTAGTTAATTTTTTCATGGACAGCCAAAAACTAAAACCATTACTAAATGAATGTCAAGAATAGCTCGTGATTAGACTGTGTAATAATGTAATTGGAAAACAAATTGGGGTAAAAGTTGTTTTGTACAGTGAAACCATATCCTGCCATGACCATTATCTTGGTCTGTATTCATCCATCATATATGGCTGGGTGATTCCTTGTATTTATCAGGCAATTTTCAAATCAGATGAAATGGTTTCAGATTCTTGATAATATGTATACCTGATACTGATGATCTTCAATTTTTCTGATCTCTCTGCTTTTGGAAGAACAAAAGGTGATCACATGGGTTGTTTGAAAGTGCATTGTAAACTATTTGTACCAAGTTGAGACACGTTTGCTTTGTTTCATTCACTATAAAATTACAAAATTTCTTCTGTCTTAAATGAATCAAATACACGAGAGCATACAATGAAGTTCTGTCACATAACCACATAACATCAATAACCACTCTAAAACCACAACATAATCCCCCCACAACCAAACCTCAAAGTGTTGGTCTCTACACAATAACACTCAACCATGCCACATAACAAAATTTGGTCTTCATGAAGTTTGCCTGCCACCCAATGAAAGTGAAAAGGAAAGAAATAGTTTTAACTCTTCAAACTTAAAAGTATCTAGACACTCTGATCAGGAGGGAGTTGTGACTTGTCCATAGTTTAGACATCTTGGGACATTGTATTGTTCCACACTATAGCTCATGACTGAAAGCCAGGAGCACAACTTGGGTGTAAGTACAATGCAAATGTCAGGTTTGATTATCCAATATATTTTGGCTATTTGATTTAAGAATTGGCCATGTTTTTTAGAAATGTATTGAATATTTAAATCTCTTTCTGTCATACATTTAAATATTTCAAATTCACATCGTGCAAAGCTTCCTGTTATCTTCAGTATTTGAATATATCCTGGAATATGCAGTGTACATTAAACAAACTGCTCTTTTATTTTTGTCTTTGTATTTGAGGTAAATTCAGAATCACATCCCCTTTGATGTTCATTCAAACATCAGAAGAAATTCATTGAAGATATCGATTCTTTCACTTTTCTTTGTTGACCAAGTTCAGAGGTCCCAGGGGTGGACTGCGATATTGTTGACATTTACCAGCAGCTCTCCTTGGAGGTATGCCAAAGCATGCATACGTCACACTGATGTACAGAAGTTGTCTGATATGTAAATATCAATTATAAATGATTAAAAAATTTGTTTGGGCAAGAAAATGGAACATTAATAGCATAAAATTACTCTTGTGATACCTAATCACTGGAATGTTAAACGGAATTGATTCGTTCTAAGGGATTTTCAATTCATGTTCATATAAGATGAAAGGAGCTTGAAAAGAAATGTATTTTGAGGGTACCAGTTTTCTCCTCTCTGTTTGCATTTTAAAAGTGTTTTGATATAAGAATTGTACTTCATTCGTACAACCATATTACTTTGAGCTCTCTTGAAGAATTTTGAGATTATAGAAAACACATTTTCTTATATTTCAAAGAAACTGCAGTTCATGGAAAAGAGGATGCAGTGTTATTTGAGCTTTTATCTAATTTCAGTCCAATTAAGATAATCTTTTTATCTTAAGACAGAAATTTTATCTTTAGATGAGAATAGTAACTGAAGTACTTAGACTGAAAGTGTCTGATTATATTCCAGGAACTAAGTATTCAAATGGTACAACTTGGCCTGTGCTTGTCAGGACTAATAGGGTTAGTGCTCAGCAAGTACAGAAAATTTTTTAGGTAAGTTTTAAATCAGCAGTTGTGAAAATTAACAAGCAGAGTGAGGAATTTGCCAACATTCTATATCCAGCCTTGATTGGTAATTTCAACAAGTTTGCTTGGCATGTCTTCTAATAGAGTCAGAAGTCTTTTTCAGTGGTGCAATGTGTCCAATTTTACTTGTAAAAATTGGATTGTTAATCACCTGTACAGGCAGCTGTATGAATAACACTGCTAGACTTTGAAAACTATGCACTGAAGTTAAGATGCTTAATATTTTGTCAGTTTTATAGCTTAATCTTGTTATTTTTAGTGAGAAGTTGCATGAATTTTACACCTGCAAATATTTGCCTTACTTTTTTTATCTGTGTTCGAAATGTTATTTTACTTTTTTATCTGTGTTTTAAATGTTTTTAACAACTAACAAAATATTATTTGTCAGTGAGCATGTTGTGATTGAGAAGTCAGTGGATTGCAGAAAGATGCTTTAAAGGTTTTTAAAAATTTTATTCTATATTGAAATTCCTTACAGCTTTAAAAGACAGTAAGGAGTTTATTTTACATGCTGTTTTTTAATGATCAACCCACATGTCATAAATATATACCTAATATATAGATATATCCCAAAACTCTAAACTGTTCTAGACCTTATTCATGTCTTCCCTTTGACTTAGTTGTGCAGTTGTAGTCATGTCATTCTGTTTGGTGTTCAGTTTCTCTTAATATCCGGAAAACATTGCAAAACTCTCTTGAAGAAGACACTTGAATAGAAAAATCTACCCATGATATGTCTCTTATTGATCAAACTGTGCATTTTGCTCAATCTCTTAGGACTTTGGTAGCTGAAGGATAGCTGAAGTTTGTCCTATGAGGATGGTTCCATTTAGGTGTTTTACTAATTGAAACTACCTTCTGTTATTGAGTATAAGCACAGAATATCATTTTTTGATATGTGATACATACAACATGTCACTTCCAATGTATGACATCCCATGTGTCGCAAGCAACTAAATGTCCCATCCTGGCCTGTGTTTTGTCCTTGTCTAATTAATTTGTTGCAGATATTTTTTTTATAAACAAACATTACTAATAATATAAGTATTATTTAAGAAATAAAAGATCATTATGCCACAACTGCTCCCTGTAGAATTTAACCTCTTTAGTTTTTGTATTGGTCATTATGAAATATTTGTCTGCAGAAATAAAAGTACATTTTCTCTTCTCCTTAGGAAGGCTGCTTACTGTTAATTTGCCAAAACTGGTCACACAATTTAAGCATTTCTTCCTAATTGGCCTGTCCCCAGGTGACAAGAATCCCATTTTCTGTACTGATGGATACTAATAAAAGTGAAAAAAAGGCTCTGAATAATGAAACTCACTTTGAAACATAGAAATATCATCTAAATCTAG